ATTATTTTGTTTTCAAATCTGGTATAAAACATCGGGCTCGCTTTTCTTTAATTTCGATTTCATTTTTAGACTATTTTGCATTTAAAGGTGAAAAACGGTGTAAAATTATTTTATTTACAACCCATTCAGCGTCTTCATATTTTAAAATATTTCTTCAAAACTTTCATAAATTCGTAGCAATAATCCATACGAACAGAATGTATGTGAAAACTAATTAGTAATATGTGCACTTTTTTTAATTTCGATTTCGTTTTCGGGCTATTTCGATTTAAAGGTGAAAAACGGAGTAAAATTATGCCATTTACAAACCATTCAGCGTCTTCATATTTTAAAATATTTCTTCTAAACGTTCATAAACTCGTAACAATAATCCATACTAAGAGAATGTATGTGAAAACAAATTAGTAATATATTAGTAATTAGTAATAAAAGTTATATGTGAAGTTAACCGAGAAATAGGCAATTTTGCCTGCGTCACTTTTCACGTTATTTTGCTTGTAAAAGAGACAATTATTATTGGATTTTTTTTATAAAAGTGACACCATTTTGATGTCTAATGTCAATTTAGGACGAGGTCAAACCAATTTAACATTCTCACTGTCACCGGAATTGGCGTCATTTGGTCAAAAATTGTATTTTTAGCATTCAAAACAGATGTTTTATTCAAATGAGTCTGATTTGTAATGTTTTTTAAAATTATGTTATTTGTTTAAAATTATGTTATTTGTTTAAAATTATGTTATTTGTTTAAAATTATGTTATTTGTTTAAAATTATGATATTTGATTCCAATCCACAAATAGAATGAACCCATACCATCATACAGATACCACAAAATGGTTTATAACTTGTTCGGTTGCAGAGAAATAGATGATTTTCTACAAGTCACTTTTCAAGGTTTTTGGTGTACAAGGTCAATTATTATTCGATTGTCATACAATTTTCATCACGTGATGCCTTATGCCATTTATGATTTCATAGAACTAATTTAACATTTTCATTATCACCGGAATTAATATCATTTTGGCTAAAACTCTATTTTTAGCTTTTACAAGTCAGTTATATTTAGTATTCATTTAACATTATGATATTTGATGCCAATGGACATATAGATTGGATCAATACGATTATATAGATTGCTTTTAGCATCTTCCCTTGTCGAGAAATAACCAATTTTGTCAGGGTCACTTTTTAAGATTGTTTTCGCATTTTAATTTCCCATTAGAAAGTCAGCGGTAAGTTAGTAACAAATTTTGTCAGGATCACTTTTTTGACATATGGGAATTGATATTGCTGGTTTTGGTTGATTCTGCGTCCATTTTATAACACGTGTACAATGCGTATGCTGAAATATGTTTAACAGTTTCATTGGTACTGTTGACATAAGTTCAAGGGTAACGTGGCCAGGTTGAAGGCCGTCATCGCAGTTCTAGTTATTATTATTATTATTATTCCATTTGAGCATATCTCAGAAACTACTTGTCGGATCGACTTAAATTTTAAAGCTATTTCTAACGTTCTGCGAAAATGCGTAATGTCCGAAATCAGCTATAAAGTTATTTTTAAAAAAATATTGCCGTATGATTAACAATATTCGCAGAATTTTAACATTTGAAACATTTCGAAATAGCCAAAGTTCATATGCTCTATGGTGCGAATTCTCAAAAAAATTTTATTACCGGTAATGTTTTCAATTTTGCTAAAAACTCTAATTTCGACTGGTCTTTTCGCTAGCAAATATTATTTTTTGCAAATCTGATCGATCAAGATAAATGCCCCTATAAAACGCCCAAAAAAAGTCGGACTCAGTTTTTTTAATTACGTTTTTTTTGTGCTATTTCGATTTAAAGGTGAAAATAGGTGAAACATTAGCTATTTACACCCCATTCAGGCTTTTCATATTTTAAAATATTTCCTGAACTTTCATAAAAGTGTAGCATTAATCTATACGAAGACAATGTATGTAAAAATCAGTTTGTAATATGAGCAGTTGCCGAGAAATAGGCAATTTTGCATGAGTCACTTTTCATGTTATTATTGGCCTGTAAAAGAGATTGTTAGTAGATTTTCATACAGGTGACACATTTGATTAGATCAAACCAATATAACATTTTCACTGTCACCGGAAGTGACGCCATGTTGTCAAAAACTGTATTTTAACCTTTTAAATCATTATTTGTTTCAACTAAGAATTATTTAATATGTATTAAAAATTCTAACTTTTGGTTTAAATCAACACGTCAATAAAATCCATGCGGTCATATAGATATTACAAAACGGTTTCTAACTTCAGTTAGACGATTTTCTACAAGTCACTTTTCATGGTTTTTGGTCCATAAAAGTGTCAATTATTATCCGATCTTCATAATATTTTCACCATGTGATGCCTAATGTCATTTACGATTTCATAAAAGTAATTTAAGATTTTCATTATCACCGGAAGTAATGTCATTTTGGCAAAAGCTGTATTGTTAGGCTCCAAAACAAATATCTTTTTTGAAGTGAACGATATTCATTATTCGTATAAAATTATGAAAAATGATTCCAGTGGACTATGTATGATTCAATACGATATTATATAAATTAAAAAAAAAACGTATTTCTAGCATCTTCCCTTGCCGAGAACCAATTTTGTCAATATCACTTTTTAAGGTTTTTGCATTTTAATACAGTTTTATAAAGGGTTAATTCGCTAACTCTGCGTCCCTTTTAAAACACGTGTGCAATGCAAATGTGGAAATGATATAAAAAAAAGACGAGTAGGAGATTTTATTTGTCATCAAATCCTTTCTTACATGCACAAATAAATACATATAATTCTTTGTATAGAATTCACTTTTACTAAACCTGATTCTATTACGGCGTAGTGATACGTCATTTTCTTGACAGTAATTCATCCATTCCAAAGTCCTTTATATTGACCCAGTGTATTCATCAAGGCCAATTAAATAAAAATAGTTCATTTTTAATAAAAAAAAAAAAAGAAGTTACTTTTAATAAAAAAAAAAATGAAAAGTTCCTTGTAAATAAAAAAAAGTAGTTCCTTTTTAACTGATCAATCAAATTCATGTAAAGCGACATCTCCTTAGTAGATTATGAAATTTAACACACACGCGATATCTACTGTAGAATGTATGATTGGGTGATAAATCTGTTTAGCGTTTTCATTGTTTTGGGTAGTTGCGTCAGTTCAAGAGTAACGTGGCACAGGTGAAAGCCGTCATCACTGCATCGCAATTTTAGTTAATTTCTGTTATTGATAAATGTTATTATTATCTACTGGTAGCCATGTGTTTAATTAAGAACTGTTATTGGTAAATGTAGATCGCATCTACTGGTAGCCATGTGTTTAATTAAGAACTGTTATTGGTAAATGTATATATTATCTACTGGTAGCCATGTGTTTAATTAAAATCTGTTATTGATAAACGTTATTATTATCTACGTGTAGCCATGTGTTTAATTGAGATCTGTTGCTGATAAATAAATATTACCTATAAGCATATTATAAATATTACATGTAAGTATATTATAAATATTACATGTAAGTATATTATAAATAGTACATATAAGTCTATTATCAATATAACATGTAAGTATATTACAAATATTACATATCATTGAACCCCTCACCTCTACGGATAGCTATGTCTTTAATTAAACATACAATATGCAAGAGCTAAATCTGTCTATTGCGGGTCTTTCTTTAGGCCTGAAATGTTATCTAAATTATCAATTAGACATTAATTAACCTATCCAGACCATAATCAACTCTAGATAGCATCGCTAGCCTCCGATCTTTAGTGGATTATGAGCCGATTTACTGCATAACTTTCCTTCACGATTTAACGATTAAATGGATAATCGAGACTATGCTGTTTATCGTACTGACTTTAGTAATGATGATCGAGACTAGGCGGAAATTTCAATCGCTCAGTTCTCGGTTCATAGTGGATCAATTTGAATGAAATATTCAGCAAATTGCCTTTACATTATCTAGTTTTTAACTATTATAGAGAGAACTGCCAGCTCTTTATCTTATCTCCCATAATGTATCTTTAAGACATTCTAACTCTATGTAAATATTACATTGTGTGTTATTATAAATATTGACACGTTATCGAATAATCTGATTACATTAGATTGGATGACACATTGATATACTGAACAGATGTGTCTTTAATTAACAAGATCCCTGCAAGTATGCGGACTATCATAAGCTCTCCATTTTAATCAGTAACATCGGGTAGAGATGATATTCAATTTCTTTAATAATTTAATGTAATTATCAATCGATCCGTGTACTGTTTAGTATACATTCTAGTAACAATGTTCTTATTTGAAATGTAAGTAAAGTTGAATCCAGGTCATCTGTTCAATTATGAAAGTGTTATTCTATTTCCGTTATAAAAATACCAAATATACACAAAATCAGAAGAAATAACTTGAAAGATCACGATGGTGGGTCTCCCTGGTTTATAGAAATCCTAGTAGAGTTTTTGTTCGAGTGGGGGGGGGGGGGTTCAAACAAAAAAGCAAAATATTTACTTAGTTCTCTGGATGTCAAGCAGTCTCGATTTGTATTCGACAGAAAAAAGCGGTACCGACTACAGCCTACAGAAACATTCACGGAGGAATAAGAAAGAATCGTACTCTTAAGTCGTTGTCTGTTTTATCATCATATACAGCTGGGTATTAATCATAAACATGAGATGAGTCTATTGCTACAGCGTCGGTTAGGGCATCAGGCTCTGGTCCCCCACGCCACATACAGATTTCCTGCTGCTAACGACGCCTAACGCGCAAGCGGTTTATTGATATAAAATTGTATCATATGTTACTCGCCAATTGACCTAGTTGATCCTCATTTGTGCCACTCACGAACGCCCTACATTCAATTACCTTAATGTAATTTCTTGGGAACAATAATAACAATAAACACATAAAGCTTTGTTGTCAACGTTTGATAAATAGCTATACAAGCTTATTATTAGAGTTTGACTTTATGACGTAGAAACAGATCAACGGGGTGTTTATAAATAGTCTGTAGTTTGAAGGTCTCTTTCCTTAAATGTAAAATATACAAAGTACATTCCATAAACACAATAAAACGACCAATAGAAAGAAATTCTGTCTAACAAATCATTGTATATGTTCAATGTTTAAAAGCTCTTTTTAATGAAAGGAAGAGAGCAAAACAAATGCGTAATACAAACACGTGCTAATATATTGGATTGAAGAAATGTATAACCAAATATGGATATATGCTCAATCATTTTAGCTCTAGGGTAATATTATAAATTATTTGTTACCAAATATGGCTATGTACCGGGTATCAGACTAAAGAATAAACTAAGACTGGACAGCTTTTTAAATATCATATAAGATCTCTTATTATTGTTTGGTACGGGTGGGGTTTGTTATTGCTTATTACAGTCTTAACTTCCAGTGTTTAATCAAGATTATTAAAGGTAAAAACGGTCACTTTAAAACACCCTGGATCATCTCCTCCCTTCGTCGTTAAAATGCTTCTTCGTCAGAATAAAAATTTAAAAAAGGGGGTCCAGATCTTCAATGCAGATAAGAACAAAATCCTGTGGAGAAGAAAATAATCCACTTCTTTCATGCGGAAAAGGGATGTTCTCGTAGTAAAAACTTTGTGCTAAGCGTTTCGGACACCCTGTGCTGTACTATATGGGAAAGATAACGGAGTCTCGGTCGTTGATAATCTTCAGTCTTGTCATGTCGAATGTATTTGGTATGTGGTTTAATCATAGGTTACTAATGTTTTTAGTAACAGGGTGTGTAACTCCCCGCTTTATTTCTAATGTTTTATTATATTAAATTTATTATATTATATTGAACCGCCATACTGTCCTACAACACAAGTTCCTTTTTGTGTAATTAGATATGTGGTTGCCTGCATTATTATCAATTTATTCAGATATTAATGAAGTGCACAAGTGGCTTAGTCAACGAACAGGTCTACACAACTAAACCGGTTCATTTTACCCTGACTAGTGCCCTAAATGTAAATATTACATTCTGTCTGTTTTAATAGTAAGTTGAGGCGGGGGAGGCGGGCGCACTACACGCTAAAGGACACCGATAAGACAAATTTGCGGACAACTTTACTCATTGTACGCCTTCGCGTACTAATTTATATACCTTTTTGCACTAAATAGGGAATATATTTTATCCAGATATACTGTTTAGAATTTGTTTCAGAGTTTAATTTGAAGAAGAAAAATGTTAATATTGAGAGCAAATTAACTTGCTCCGTATGGAGGTATATTGACGTGATATCGTCTAATTTCTATTCATGTAATTTTTAACTTCTATTCATGTGATTTTTAATTTAAAGCAATGTATAATCCAACCTCTTTATTAGTTCAGTGTAAATTTTAATTATTTCTAAACCGGAGTGTTCGGAGTAAACCCACGAGGTTGTCACGAATACAACCGAGGAATCGATGCTGAAATTGAAAACAACATCGAATGTGATATGGTCGGCAAATACTATTTCAAATATAAGCTAAACACCATTTTTTTGTTGTGTTTTTTTGTTCATCATTTTATAATGTTTATCATTTTATAATGATAAAGCTTTTTTTGAAATGGTTCAAAGGTATAAATTTAGAAACCCCATATTGTGGGAATGAAACGGCCTTTAAAGGAGACCGGTATAATCTGTTCATGTAGATATATATAGAGGTTTCTATTTCTGATGCCTTCATTATACCACCTGACTAACTTTATGTTATTTTTTTTTTCAACAATATATTATTCAAGTTGCATAAAACGATACGAAATTTCATAGATAGCGATGTTCTTGATGAAATTAAACCTAAATGAAATACGGTTTATAGTCCTCCATGTCTACACCAACTGGGCTAATGAAGATGGACTTACGCCACACAGTGTGCCATGAGGTAAATGTAGCCCGGATTACGAATTAGAGCTGCCAAGGGGTTTCGTCCTATCCGAACGACTAAACACCGCCCCTGTCTAATATAACGGCAGCCTCCATAAATCACAGGGACGGAACTAATTATGTCAGAAATATTATAAAGCTTAGTGTGTGTACTAGCTAACGATGTTATATAACTCATAGGAATATATTTTTATGGTATAACCGATATATTCCGACGTCGTTCTCCCTCCCTTGCCATTGATACAGGACAGGGGTCTGGCACGGGCAGTGGCTAGTCGTTCAGATGGTTTAAAAAGACCGTTTTTAGAGCAGTAAAAGAATATAGATAAACAGTATATAAATATTAATTGGTTCAACTGTAAAAAAAAAGAGAAAAACAAATAAAATTCTCTAAATCCAGAACAAATGCTGTTTAGCTTATATTTGAAATAGTATTTGCAAACTATATCACGTTTGATAATGTTTTCAATCCGCCAAACTATTCAACATGACGAAGAACGAGTCGTTTGTATCAACATAATGGTCCTGATCAGCTGCTCAATCGCCAAATTGAGCACACGGTGGCGACACCAAACGACGTCATAATGATTGTTGCCAGGGCCGCCTTCGGCTCGTCCAAATGTTCGACCATAGTTCAACTAGGTCTCGACCATGCACACCCGAACTTGAAATGGTTAGACTATAGTCGCGACCATGCTTAACCAACCTTTCGAGGTCGGTTGAGGCTGGTCAAGTCAGATTAAAAATGGCGGCTCGCGACAAAACATGTGTTGTGTTGGAATTGTTATTTGAAGATAGAACGTATACTACCAATGTTGCTCCAGAACCTGACAGTTATTTAACTTCATATAACATATTTAAATAGATTCCATATTATATAAAGTGGATAATCATGTTTTGTCAATCAATTCGACCAAGACTGGTCTCAGACTGAAATTGTGAAAGTGACAGTATTAAATTATAGTAAAAATATTTCATCTATTTGTGAATTTTATTTGGAAAAACAGAAACACAAACAGAAACAGTTTGTTATACATTGTAAATATAAATTATGTAAATAAACTCTGGATATTTTGTTGGTTTGTTTATTTTTTTTTGTCTGGGGATAACTCGGTCACTAACTCAACTGTGAGTAGATTTCTTGAAATCGTCGTTATCATAATTCTACCATAGTCTTTGGCAAACGTTCCGAGAATTTATCTCCAAAGAATGATGTGGTCATATCAAAGTTCTCATTAAGCAAACTTGCGTTTTCGTTAATTAAAAGGTTTTGTAGCCGTTCTTTGAAGAGAACGGCGTCCATTTTGACGACTATGGTCGAACTAGCTTCCGTTCGGGTGCAGTGAACTATACTCTGCCGTTTAGTCGTGACCATACAAGCGCACCCGAAGGCTGCCCTAGGTAGAAGTATCAAAATTCTAAATTAGTTCGACGTTCATGCTTAACATGTAAAGCAACAATGAAGTTGACATTTTTCGTCTTAATAATAGGAATAAGATGAAACAGAATTAAAATTTACACTGAAGAAATAAAGAAGTTGGATTATACATTGTCTTAATTTAGAAATTACTTGAATAGAAGTTAGAAATTATATGAATAGAAGTTAAAAATTACATGAATAGAAGTTATAAATTAGACGATAGCATGTTAGAATTTTGAGTTTAATATACCCCCATAGCCCCGGTGTCATCCTTTCAAAGATAGTAGCGAATATTTACTGCTTATCAGTTTGAGACATTACATGGAATAAACAACAAGAGAGAGAGAGAGAGAGAGAGAGAGAGATTTGACGTCCACTCGACACAAACTAGGTCATTTCGGGACTAACAGGGGTCTTTAGCAGTGGGAGGAAACCGGAGGACTTGGAGAAAACCCATGATATTACAATAGAGGTTAATTGAAATTTTATTACAATTATTACATTGTTTACAACTGGGATTGTTATTACAGTAGGGGTTGTAACAGGGTCGCACTACACATAAACAAAACCGATAGGACAAACATGCGGAAAAGACAAGCTACAAAAGACATTGCACGAAATAAACAACAAATATGAAATCGAGTGATTGGATCCTGGTGCTGACGATAAGCGCCCACTGCACTGTATGGTCTCGGGTCTGTAATGACACAGCTTTCACTCAAAATGAACAAATTTAATGATTTACAAGAATGATGTAATAGCAATGATGCGACGGTGATCGTCTCCTGAATGGCCACAGTCTATCAGTCATGTAATGGTTGTGATATTGATTTTATTTTTCAATATAATTTACTTGGACCTCCATGCAATTTGCCCGTTTGTCGTTGGGACTGTCTATGCCCTTGCGGTAGAAGTCTTTAACTGGCCCCCTAGCCACGCCTCAGTAGCTGCCTTGAGTTCATCATCATCGCCAAACCATGTACCACGCAAGTTTGATTTCAAATTGTGAAACAGAGATAGAAGTCGCTTGGGGTCAGATCTGGACTGTAGGGGGATGGTTAAGTTGTTCAAAGTCACATTTAGTCAGGTCAATATATGGAAAATACCCCCTCACCCCGCCCCCCCCCCCCAAATGGCAACAAAGGGTTTCTCAACTGATTCTGATAGGGTTTAGTGTACTATATAACATACTATAAGTATAAGTTTACCAAAGTAGGACCCCCTGAAAAGTGTTTTTCAAGATGGCGTCTTAAAATGATCATAACTATGGAACTCTTGAAAATTATCCATTGCAACTGTTCGGTGAGGGGGGGGGGGGGTGATGCAAGTTCTCTCGATGCTCAAGCAGTATAAAATCTCCCTGATAAATTACCAATACTTACAGTTAGTCGCTGCTGGTAGTTTACATACACTAAATAAACACGAACGCTTTCTTCGTGATATTTTGACTGTTTCCCCTTGCTCATATTCTTCAAAATAAGATGATAACATAACTATTTTTTTTATCAAGATTTATTGTGTTTTACCTAATAATCAAGAACCATTAAATATAAAAGCATGTTACAGTAGATTGTCGCTTGTAATGTGACTTGGTCTATCTATGTAAATAGGATACGACATTGTTTTAGTTACATCTATAAGTGAATAAAAATATTACAAGACAACAAAACATAATCCCCTAATAGCCCTATTGTTATTTAATTTTGGGAGATAACATCCGAGTCAGACTAAACAGTTAAATGGAACAATCACCTGGGGTCTACAATTACGTTAACCCATGTAAGCAGTTGGCATAGAACGCTTCGTAATTACACGATAATTTAATGCCAACTCGGACCCTTATGTACGGTCCATATGCCCAAGAAGGTTCATTTGAAATTTGAAATCAAACATTTGAAATTTGAAATATAAAAGCTATTAAAATGCGAATATTTTTTTTTATAAATCACCATCAGGATATAAGAGTCACAAGTTGTATGTAACCGTGTATTCATTATTCCTTTATTAATTTAGATCGAATTAACACATGCGCATTACAATATTTTACGCTATGCTTGTTTGTCCATTGAGCGATTGAGAAGGTGGACTTTCACACAAATTTTGAGGTATTTAAAACTTATAAATATATATATTATTGTCATATTTCGATTAATAATTGTTCAGTGTTTTATTTACCATTCTTAAAAGTACTGTTAATCTCTTAATTAGTTACTTAGTCGAGGTTTATTTTACATATTTTCAGATAATACTTCAATACTCTGTCAGTCAGCCATGCCTGTTATTATCAACTTTTTTCATTCCTTCAATAAATTGCCTTTTGTTGATTTGCAGACAGCATATTAAAGATTATACTCAATTATAAGTGAAAGCCTTTGCCCTGTTTGCCAGTTTACCAAAATCGCCATCTCAATAGAACCCGCCGATCGGCAACCCCCAATCACATAATATGATACTCAAGACAAACTAAACAAATATCAGAGCCCAATATTTACATTCACAAATAAAATCAAATAAAACAGTTAATGAATGAAATTAAAAACTTATATCACATTTTCTGTATAAATAATTTATAAAACCACAATTATTAATATATACTCAGCCAAATTAAAAACTTGACACTGATGAATTTCAACAACATTTTTTTCTGGTAAGTCAAATAAATTTTAAAGTGTTTCTAACGATAGTAAGTAGTAAGAAGCCTTTAATTTCATAAAATTGTAAAGTCACGTTGATCACGTGACTTTTGACCATATAAAGATGAAAAACCTGAAAAACACGTGCAAACACAAACTCGTGAGGTCAATCGATGCAAGTTTGCTTAAACTGAACAGGCACACCTAACTTGAACTGGAAAAACAAATTAAAATTGTTATTTTCTTCTTTGTTAGAAAATGCCGCGCCTTTCAAATGTAGAACGTCTACGTGCTATAGGTAGGCTCTATGCTGGTCAGTCTGTGGTCACTGTTGCAAGAGCCTTTAATTGTTCACGCCAGACAATAATTAATCTTAGAATGAGAGTGCCGACAGCCCAAGGGCGGGAGCGCCACGTGTGACGTCACCCCAAGAAGATCAAGCAATACGATTACGTCATCTTAGAAACAGATTTGTCACTGCAACCTCCACAAGTAGAGAGGTGTTTGGTGGAAGGGTAACTGCACAAACTGTTCGAAATCGCTTGCAGGCTGCTGGTCTTCGAGCTCGGGGGCCCTATAATGGACCAATATTGACACCTCTTCATCGCCTTAACCGACTTGTGTTGGCCACAAGACACATAAGATTTACTCAAAGACAGTGGAATTCGGTTGTCTTTAGTTACGAATCTCGATTCACTTTGGGATTTGCCGATGGCAGGGCCCGAGTGTACCGCAGACGAGGTGAACATTACGCTCAAGTATGCGTCAGAGAATTTGACCGATTTGGTGGCGGCAGCGTCATGGTTTTGGGTTCTTTTTGTGCACATGGACGTTCTCCTCTTGTTGTTGTCCAAGGGAACTTAATTGCTGTCCAGTACAGGGATCAGATTTTGCAACCTGTTCTTCTTCCGTTTATGCAGAGACATGGGCCTGGACTAACGTTTCAACAAGACAATGCTCGACCCCATACAGCAATTGCCACCCAGATTTTTTTAAGAAATGCCGGTGTCCAAGTCCTGGATTGGCCGTCGCTTAGCCCCGACCTTCATCCTATTGAACACATCTGGGACAAACTGGGTCGACGTGTTCGTCAGCAAGTGAATCCACCACTGACGCTGCAGCACCTTCAACATGCAGTGGCGACGTCTTCCTCGGGTAGTGTTTACTAATGTTCTGAGATCCATGAGAAGACGTTGTGTGGCAGTACGAAACGCTAACGGAGACCACAACCGTTACAAAACACTTTATTCCGATTGTTCTCCAAGTCTGTGAATTTCATTTTGGGGGGTACTGTGACATCACGAACGTTATCAATGTCAAGGACTTTCGGCGAAACGTATTCTTGCTTTCTGTTGATGCCAAGGTCGTCTGTGCACAACATAACACTAAAATAGTTTCCTTAAACCAAATATTAAAAATCTAGTCCCAAAAATCCCGAGTGTCAAGTTTTTAATTTGGCTGAGTATACTTTGGCGAGTGTATATTATTATTGCCGGCTTGAAAACTTTTTCAATTCGGTCCGCGTATTTATCCGAAGCTCACAGATGCAATAAGAAGCGTGGGATATCAAATGTTCTAAAACGAGTAAGCAAAGTATGTCTTGCAGCTATAAACCAAAAACGTAAGACGTAAGAATGCCCAACCATAGGCGTACCATAGGCCCGATGATAGTTAGGAAGCAGAATCCGAAATGCCTGAAAACATTTCGGGTTACAGACGGCCTTCTGCGAAAGCGGAGGAGCGGAGCTTACCGTGTAGTAACCCGCCAAGAAAATTTTGGAAAATTTGACGTCCGCAAACGCGTTTTCCTGCTATTCCAACCTTTGAATACAGCAACTTCAAGGTGGTCTAATTTAGCCTAATTAAGATTAATTGATTAATCGTTTATTCCACGGAGATGGGACCGTCGGGAGAAAATTTTGAAAATTTACTTTGGTGGCTGACCTGAATTCCCAACCACCAATCAATCGTTTCGGGGTAGGAGGGCCTTGCCCTCCCGGAGAAAATTTTGAAAATTTTGAAAATTTAACTACCGCAAATGCGTTTTTCTGCTTCTTTAGCCCGTGAGTTAAGCAACCCTAAAGTTTTCTAATGTTTTTGTAACCAAAATGCCACTCTATGCCGACCTGAATTCCAACCATCCAATCACACTGTTGCAGCTGCATTCACAAATAATAATCGATGCCCGAAAAATGTCGCACAAAGTAGAGTGGCTGCAGAAAAAATGTTTTAATCCATAGTCAATTCAGTACAAATTCGTGGTATTCAATTAAAAGAAAAGTAAAATTAGTGTTTTATTAGATTTCGGGCACTTTATTTTGCCAACCAGATAAAATAATTTTTTTTTCACTTTACCCGTCTGCACGAAAAGTCAGATTGCCCGAAATCTGCCCTTCCCCACCTCGCGCCTGGCCTGTACGTCTATGTGCCCACCCACAACCCCAATAATGTAATAATGTATACAAACACATTAAAGTGCATGTTCGTAGTAAATTATAATGTTATCTGTTTACAAAACTAATATGTGGCATGCGTAATTTATAAACATGCTTAGTTTATATACATGTGTAATCAAGTAATACTCTCTTGGTCTAATGACCCCAACCACAGCCTCGTCAGAACTAACGGCACCGGACCAATGTGCCGTCGAGCCATGTGTCTGTGAAGAAAAAACGTCCCGGCAACTACTACTACCATGCTGAATTTACAAAGTTTTAACCTTTTGAAATAATGTTGAGAGATTTTGAATATATTTTTTTAAAGGGATCAAATTCGAAAATATTTTGATTTTTACAAAAGATTTTATTTTCTAGAAACCACCTGAGTTGTCATTCTAAATTAATAAATATAAACTATAGATATCGGCGCGGGTGTTTATCAACATCGTATTTTAATATATTTAATATTCAACATGTCTCAAGTTGATTATTAGGATAACTTATAATTTACATGTACATGTAAGCGCTAAATCTGGTTTCAAATTTTATATAAATTATTATTTATACATAAAGATCTTTCGGAATTAAGTACTTTAACTGAAATTGTAAGAATATTGCGCTTTATATAAACCTTCCATAATGCATCTGTAACATCACAACACATTGATAAAACATTCCCAACCCATTTCTTCTTAACAACCGACGTCTGACCAATACAATTCAATATAAATACTTCAATGTATAATTAAAGCTTTAAATTGAGTCTATATATGTATACTAGCCTCTTTACAAAGAACAAATTACTTGATAATGTTTATAATTTATATGATATTGTATAAGATTATAATAATATTATGAGCAATCACGGACAATAACACAATAAACTACCCCAGAATCATTTCATGGGCCTTATGTACTCGTTATCGAAGGCGACCCCAACACAGAAATCCAAAAACATCTACCGATCTACATGACTATTATAGAGTGATGTCGCTACTTACACAAGTTTTAATATATTATTTGTTTGTCTGAAAATAAAACGTTATGTTGCGTCCTCGAAGGAAAAAAAAAATATGTAATTTATTTGCACTGTAAATTTAAATTAATGAATGAAAGGATGAATGAATGAAACTATTCATAACAAAATATGGTTGGAAAACAGTTATCGTAAGTCCCAGGTTTGTTTTTCTAGGAATTGGACCAATGAATTCTAATATTGTGGATAATCAGGGACTCCAAAATACATAAATACAAACGACAGGATAGTACAATACAATAAAAAGTATGCCATGAAAATTAAATGTTTTATCTGAATTGTAATTACCTGGGCATTGTATGGGTGAGCCTTGCCATTGACCTTCAGAACATTGGATCTGTGTTACACCAGAATAGTCAGATTTACAGGTCACTCTACATGTAATCCCGTGGGCCACGTAAGAATTGGTGGTACTTGCAGGTTCAGATGAACAATCGACTAAATGAATGCCTTTAATCTCTAGAGTTTGTAGAGGACACGGATCTTTCTAAAACAGAAATCAACAAGAAATTTTGGTTTATAAAGATATATTTGGTGCCAAAACATACCATCGATGGTTTATCAAGTTTCAGATTTCAAGCAAAACTGTGATGTGCAATGTGTTCCATGGAGTTGTATGTTTGTTCGACATTTCGTATTCACAAGCTATTTATTTCGAATTCACATCCCATGAATGACAAGTCTTTGTTTAAATTAGTAAAAAGATATAAAATGGTTCCTTACTGGAAAGGGGGTCACGTGGCTAGGTGGGTAAGACGCTGGCTCGCTAGCCTGGAGGTCGGGTGTTCGATCCCTGCATTAGCCGAGAAAGTTCATCCAGATTTTCCGACATGGATTTCCCTTGTCAGTGGTGCAGAACGTAGGGCCTGACAAGGATAGTTGTCTAGTCCTTCGGGTGAGACGAAAAAATGAGGCCCCGTGTATATATTGGAATGCACGTAAAAGATATAAGAGTAGGCCGTAGTGCCGCTGCCCGGGCAAAATTTCCCCCATAGCACACTGTATGGCGTATGCCCTCTTTATTACCCCAGTTTAGGAGCAGAACAGTAGGACATTAAACCCCATTTCATTTCATTTTTATTTCCTTACTGGAAAGTATGTAGCACATGAACATGCATGTACAGAGGCGTACATTTACCGTTAAGAATCTGTTACCGTTTCAATTTTACAGGTGTAAATATATAATAATATACATAATATGTCATTATAACAAATAATATTCATGTCTACTGTTTGTATTATATAAAACAATACGATGACATATTTTTAAAACTGTTATCAGCAATGATACAGAACAGAATTCTACATACCACTACATTGATTGTTGTAGAAAAAACGAGTCCAATAACAAGCTCTAATATTGTACACAGCATAACGCTCGCCATTTTAAATACACGCAGTTTAAACATGTCCAATATAATTGATCAAAATCTATAATATGTTTATACTCAAGTATATTCAAGGTATAAAAGGTTATAATTTTCAGTCGTCTGCCAGACGATAAATCAGGCGCGACTATAAAAACAGTAAAGGCAGGTTTGTATTATTTAAATCTTATTTCTTTATCTTTATAAGGAATATGGTAATATATTTTCGAAATTAGATATACATAGCGAAGATTTTTTACGTAGTCGGTGTGTTTATATATACAACTCTATATTATTTAGTTTATTTTTTTTGTATCAAAACACGTACACTGCACAAAAAAAATATTAAATACATGATTGTGTAAATATATAAAATTATGATTCATAACTTAGAGCATGTGGTTCACATTTTTCTTTGGGGTTATAACGGTAAAAGAGTCACGGTGGTTCAGTGAGTAAGACGTTGGTTCGGTAACCTAGAGATTATAACGGTAAAAGGGTCACGGTGGTTCAGTGAGTAACAGTGCCTCGTCAAAGTATTTGGTCGTGAGCACCGTAGGTGCGAACCGCGCGAACACCGCAGGTGTCAGACCCCGGGCGGGGGATCGGGGGGGGGGGGGCCTCCCCCAGAAAATTTTGAAAATTGACTCCCTTAGACTAGATTTCTGGGCACTTAAAAAATAGTTTTGGAGATTTGATACACTATTAGTTTTAGAATCTTGTTAAACCATGGATTGATTAATACCCTGTAAAATCGAGATCAAAACACTGCTGCGGCTGACAGGACACTCGTTCCAAAGTGAGATCACGGGAACCTCGCTGCGCCGTCTGCTGACTGGTTCGGCCAGCCAGGGACATGGCAGATTATCAGCCTCAGGCATGCTTGGCACATGGGAAAAACCTTGTCAGCGATTTTCAAATCGTGTGCATGTTGCCGCACAGTCTTCAACTTTTGGGCTCAGTAGGCGGCACAGTTTGGCCAGTGCGCCGCCTAGTCACCATGTTAAACGAGGCTCTTGTCAGTGGTGTACGGCAGAGGGCCTAGTAAGGGACAACATGTAGTCGTTCGGGTGGAACGAAAAACCGAGGTCCTGTGTACACATTGACAGCTGGAATTCGATATACATGTATAAGTAAGCCGTATAGCACACTACATGGCGTATGCCAGTCGTCATTAGCACAGTCGGAGCACAACAGTAGGGTGTTAAACCCCACGTCATTTCATTAACCCAGTCGGGGCAGAACAGTGTAAAAGTCTGGTACTTTGTACAATTATTTGTAACGACTGATCACAATCGTTATCTTTTACTTTATTATATAAGTGACACAATTCTGCGAGCATATTTTAAACATATTCCCGAACGAGCGATATGACAACCTAAGCCTTAACATTTGAAGGTATACATAATATATAATATATGAATAGACCAGAACATCTTCGTCGTTCTTAGCGCACGCGCAGGGGTCTTTCCTGTGGGGGGAAACCGGAGTAAACCCACGAGGCTGAGAAGGCGCTCCTATCTCCAAGCCACAGCCGCAAGCCACTGGTCGAAGCGCGGCACTCTAGCCCACTAGGCCATCCCGACGCCCCACCTGAACAGTAATCCAATATAATAAATAAAGAAGATAAACATGACGGAAAATAACAAATACAACACTAAATCAAAGATTTACACCAAAAATGAATAACCGGGTTGCCGAATAGTTCTCCAAACGAGTATTTTATAGAGATCTTGAAAAAAGTGAAGAAACATGATAAAGCAACTGTCGCCCGATATATTTAAGCGGTGATACTTCCTTGCACATAATTTATTATGTTAAATCTCTATTCCCGTTGTAATATTTAGATGATTTATCACGCACTACCTATTTCCGTGTTTTGTCCGACCCGAACGACTAAACGCACTAAATGGTCTATGTTGCTAGGGGGATCACGTGGCTAAGCGATTAAGGCGCTGGCTCGCTAGCCTGGAGGTCGGGTGTTCGATCCCTGCATTGGCCGAGAAAGTTCATCTCGATTTTCCGGCGTGGTTTCCCCTTGTCAGTGATGCAGAACGGATGGCCTGACAAGGACAGCTGCCTAGTCGTTCGGATGGGACAAAAAACCGAGGTCCCGTGTACACATTGGCGTGCACGTAAAAAATCCCTTGGCAGTTGGAATTCGATATAAGAGTAGGCCGTAGCGCCGCTGCCCGGGCAAAATTTCCCTCATAGCACACTGTATGGCGTATGCCCGTCTTCAATTAGCCCAGGTTAGGTGCAGAAGAGTAGGACGTTAAACCCCATTTCATTTCATTTCATTTCTATGTTGATAACTTGGCTTGACACTCGAAACATTTTGTTTTAAGTCAGAAACCTAATCACACGAATACTACACCTGTACACAACCTAATTACACGAATGCCACAAATTTACACAACATGATCACATGCATCATACTATGCTTCTCCCCCAACAGAATTTGCAATCTTTATAATCAACCAGAGTACGATGTGCTTTTTAATTCAATTAATCCGAATCCTTTAGAGGGGAGAGAGAGAAAAATGGGGTTTAACGCCCATTCGACACAAACTAGGTCATAAGGTTTAATTTTATTTCAATAATTCGTTTACGCGTAGGAGTCTTTAGCAGTGGGAGAAACCGGAGGACCCGGAGAAAACCCACGAGGTTGGATAGGCGACCCTACTCCTTGTCACATTCCTTTAGCGGCATTTGAAATGAAATTAAATGTTGTTTAATGGCACGTCAGCCCCAACCGGGCTACATTGCACCAATTTTGAGGCATTTAGTAACTTAATAGAGCAAATCAGTAACGACAAATAATTTTTAAACTGCACAATACATTTTTAGACGAATAGAATATATAGAAGCTCCATCATGCCAAATAAAACTGAACTGAAATTGGGGTTAACGTCCCACTGTTCTGCCCCGACTGGGCTAATGAAAACGGATGCCAAATAAAGGTTAAATACAGAGTCTAAGACGACACACAATAAGAAGTACTTTTTATAGTGGTCCAAAACGTATTAAAATCCATGAGTCCATATTATTCTTAATAATTTGGTGTCATTAATTAGTCTTTAATCATACTAAGTCATATTAATCAAGAAATGTCTGTCATTGAGTCGACTGGCGTGGTTTCGAATCCCCGGTTGTACGTGACAAGGAGTAGGGTCGCCTGTCCAACCTCGTGGGTTTTCTCCGGGTCCCCCGGTTTCCTCCCACTGCTAAAGACCCCTACGCGCAAGCGAATTATGTAAATAAAATTAAAAACCATATGTTAGTCCCGAAATGACCTAGTTTGTGTCGAGTGGACGTTAAACCCCCATTTCTCTCCCTCTCTCTCTAATCAAGAATTTCTAACAGTTTTTAAAAGTACGTGTTCTAGCAATATTGTTTTTTTTGCGATTATGGCTATTTTAATGGAGTTAAGTCCATAACTCAATATTTTCCATAATATTCGAAATTAAAAACACGAATTAGAATTCAATATTGAACAATTTCAACCAATATTGATTTTGTTATCTTTCTGTGAAACTATAGGATCCTAATATCCAATATTTAAGACACAATCAACAATTTATAATCAGTACACGAGTCGTGTGCCCATGGTTTCGGGTGCCATTTTGTAATGAACAAATAAAACCCAATGTGGAATTAGTAAAGACTGGTTCACAAACGGCAAAATAATAATTTTAAAAAACGCGTATAATGCATTAAGCAAACGTAAACGACAACCCTTCAGTTTGAACTGTTCACGTATTTCACCGAACATAATTGACTAGAAATTACAATATTTTTTTTTCAAAAATTGAACATAAATCACTTTACATACATTCATATTTAGGCATACGCCAGCAATTCCCCTAGGGTGTCGATTTAAAACGGAAAAATTGTTCAAACGTGTATTTCATAAGAGATAAATTGTATATGAATGATAGTTTATATGTCGAATAATAGGACAGACAGGAAGAAGAGCTTTCAATTATCTCACGGAATATAAATAATGGTCTATGCTCTAAATAAAAAGATACCGATTTCACTAACGTTTTAACCAAGCATGACATAATAATGTTACTTCATACTGGTAAATACACTGTCAACGCTAAACCAAACGGATATAATAAAACTGTTGTGACTAGAAATAAATGCAAAAGAAGCGATGGGATTGTGATTTTTATAAAAGAACATTTAAATCGTATATAGATAGTTGAAACTTGTGAACATTAGCAAACATCAAGATATCAAATACTAATCATGGCGAAATAGATATATTTAGTTGTCGTATGTACATACCACACGAACGATCGTAATTCTATTAATCATAAATCATACGATGTTGATTTCTTTGATGAGATAGAACGGTTACAATCCTATTACTCAAGATTTGGAATATTCATTGTGTGTGGTGGTTTAAACTCAAGAACAGTTACTAACAGCGACTTTCTTACAATTAGCCACAATAATCAAGTGTACGATTATTTGAACACAGAGTTAATCTTACCCAAACGAAATTCTCACGATAAAGTATTAAATAATTTTGGGAAAAGGTTCTTACAAGTATGTATAAACACGAAACTCTATATATTAAATGGACGGTTAGAGCTTGGTTGTACTGGAAATGGTAGTTTAATTGATTATTTTCTTATAAATGCTGATTCATTGAGGCATGTTAATAATCTCAGTGTAATGGATTTTTTTTGGGGAATTTTCTGATCCCGCTCCATTTTTATCTCTATTTAAATGTAAAAAAGGCCCCTCCCCTCATTATGTATAACCGAGAATATTATGAGTTACGTCCCTTGTCTTAAATAGGATCAGGGCAAGCTCGATGTCTTGCGGTCATCCTAAACAGAGAGAGAGAGAGAAATGGGGTTTAACGTCCACTCGACACAAACTAGGTCATTTCGGGACTAACATAATGTTTAATTTTATTTCAATAATTCGCTTGCGCATAGGGGTCTTTAGCAGTGGGAGGAAACCGGAGGACCCGGAGAAAACCCACGAGGTTGGACATCCTAAACAGATAATTTGAACGTAATTAATAATGTGCTTAACAAATGGTGTT